ATGGCGGCGCAGGGTCCCAGGAGCGAGCCCACGTCCGTAATTGTAACGCAATTGCCCAAAGAAGCGTATAGAAGACCAATTAATGACTATTTCGGCCAAATTGGACCCGTCGTCAGATCACATCTAGTCAGAGATGATGGTAAATATGCGGGAGAGTTTTGCGTTGAGACAAAATAATGGGGTTTGTGGGTCTTGCATGTTGTCTGTTGGAAGTCATAAGTGCAAAATTTGTTAAAAAGTTCTGAAACGAGGAATATTTTAAGTCTTTCTGAGTCTCAGTTAGTGGATTCAAGAAGAATAGAAGAGTATATGTATACATGAGAATTTATATACACATGTGCCTCATCTGTCTTCATCCAGATGTGATTTATACTTTTAGCACTAACTTGCTGATTTTGTTTATACTGGTATCGATGAATGGCTCATGATATGTAGGATCCTTCAATAATTGTCTTGAGTCAGTGCTAAAAAAATTTATTAACAATATGGACCCAAAACTTAGGGAGGGATTGCAATATACCATTAGTATTGTTGGTGAATATATGAAATAATATAATAACAATGGTTTATCATTGTATTATGCAAAGGCATTAAGCCATTGCTGCATCCTTTTCACCTGTCGGCCTACAAATCTCCACTGTTTATATTTGTAAAGATGGACCGTACGATTGTTCCATTTGTGGTGATAACTTGTGGGAGAAGACTGAAACCTTTTTCTTACCAGTGAGTAGAAGATGGAGGCCATAACAAACTACCTGATACTAAGCTACTGCAATTGCAACCTTGAGTATCACTGATTAGTCTTGGCTAAAGTCACTATAGATAGTCAGTACATATTATAGGTACCTTATACTGGAATTTATCAAAACAGGAAAGGCTATAAGGGGACAACCATTACATAAAGAATGTTCTAGAGATTTTGCCAACAATAAAACAATGGATATCTCCATGAAATATCATCTAGACAAAGGAATATCAAAAATCAGAGGTTGCTGCTAAATGCCTTCCTTGACAGACCAACCCTAATACCCCACACTCTTTTGCATTTCAGAGGGCAATTCAAAGGGCATTGCCTACATTGTGTACGCAACACAAGAGGATGCTGAGAGATGTGTGGAACAACTCAACAATACTAAATTTCAAGATAAGGTGATCCACGTAAAGTTGACAAAGCAGAAAGGAGGCAGGAAGATACATGAAGAAGAAGAAAATGAAAGCCCAGAAGTTAAAGAAGAAGCCAATGATTTTCACGAAGAGGAACCGGAATATAAGTACAACAACCGGTGGAACCCAGCGAAGGATAGGAACTTGCGGAAACAGGGACGAATTGTCGTGAGGAATTTGTCCTTCAAGGTGAGTTTTGATATATTGCGAATTGTTGTGTCTTCTTGCATTATCACTCTCATTTGCTCTCCCTTATTTTGTTATTATTTTTGGCTTCTTTGTACCTCCAAATGTTCTCATATCTTCCTGTTTGGATTTTTGGGTCATGCTGTATTCTGATTATTTTTTTAGTATCAGATTGTTTTTCTTTCTTTCCTTTTCTTTTTTTCCTGTACAAATGCATATTCATGTACATGTACATGTGTGTGTGTGTGTGTGTGTGTGTGTGTGTGTGTGTGTGTGTGTGTGTGTGTGTGTGTGTGTGTGTGTGTGTGTGTGTGTGTGTGTGTGTGTGTGTGTGTGTTTATAATTATGTATATATGTGTGTATGTATATATATATATATATATATATATATATATATCTATATCTATATCTATATCTATATATATATATATATATATATCTATATCTATATCTATATCTATATCTATCTATATCTATATCTATATCTATATCTATATCTATATCTATATCTATATCTATATCTATATCTATATCTATATCTATATCTATATCTATATCTATATCTATATATATATATGTATATATATATATATATATATATATATATATATATATATATATATATATATATATATATATACATATATATATATATGTATTTTTTTTTTATGGTCTTTTTTTCTTTGTATTTTGTATTTATATTTATTTATATTGTTTTCAGGTTGATGAAGACATAGTCAGAGAACATTTCTCAAAATATGGAGTCATTGATGAAATTAATTTATTGCGCAAGAAGGATGGCCAGCTTGTGGGTTGTGGTTTTATCCAATACAGAAGCAGATATGAAGCTCAACGTGCCATAGAGGAATGTAATATGAAGCCACTGTTAGGTAAGTATTTCTCTATCCTTCTGTTCTCATCAGTAATTTACGTGAAATTGACCTTTTTATTTTTAATTCTCCTCAACTTCCTCCTCCTGAAGCTCCTGTTACTCTTCCACCTCCTCCTTAATCAGTAATTTTGTATCAATTGTACAGTTATTGTTGTTTTTTTTTCTATCTTTCTTTCTATTAAGATTTATAATATTTTCTTCTTTCTCTTTCTTCCTGTAAATACCCAGGTAGAACAATAGCTGTGGATATAGCCGTCCCAAAGGAGAAGTTCACGGGGAAGAATGAGAGGGCAGAGAGCTCCTACACAGGCTATGGAGATGACCCGAGGAATTCAACAGCAGGACCCAATGAGAGATTCTATTACAAGGACGAACAGAGAGGAAACAACCACGTCATCTTTGGCGAGGAAGACACGGATTATCTTAATGTTAAAATAAAGGAAGAGAAGCTTAGCGATGATGAAGAGATGAGTATAGTAAAGGAAAGGAGAAGGGATGATGATGACAGTAAAGAGGACATTAAAGTGAAAAGGGAAGACATGCTGGACAACGAAGAGGATGACAGCGGCGTGGCAGATGATGAGATAGTGAGCGAAGACGAAGAGGAGTTCAAAGGAAGCCAGGTCAGGGACCCTATGGAGAGGCCAAAACCAGCCCCAACGAAAGGACCCAGCAAGGACGTAGCAGAGGAGAGAACCCTGTTCATCCGGAACGTGTCTTTCGATGCCACAGAGGAGGACATCGGCAAGGTTTTGGAGAAGTTTGGAGAGCTGAAGTACGTCTTGATATGCATGGACAAGATGACTGACCACCCTAGAGGCACTGCATTTGCTCAATTCAAGGTGAGGAAAAAAAGTTTTAAACTTTTGTCACATAAGTTGAATAAGGAAAGAATAATAAATCTATTATGTACATATACATATATAAATGTACAAACCTTATACCCCTTAACTGATCCTAACTGTATTCCTTATCCTGCAGGAAAGAGAAGCAGCTGATGCATGTCTTGCTGCAATAACCGACCCCCTGAAGAAGGAGGAATTTCTTGTATGCGGCCGATATATGCATGCCATGAAGGCCATCAGCAGGAATGACTTAGATGTTAAAACCAAGGAGAAGAAAGAGAAGATCCAGAAAGACAAACGAAACCTTTATCTAGCACGTGAAGGATGTAAGCCCATTTTATTATTTTTATCATTTTTTACTTTTTTATGACAGGAGCCCCCAGCAACTCACTGAATCATGTGTCAGGTTGCTCACAGATTCAACTGCTCAAGGGGAGAAAATAGATGTACAGGCATAAAATTGCCCCATTTGCTATGGCTTAAATGATTCTTCATGTAATGAAGTTTTAAAAAGAGGCGTTAAGCTCATTTTTGAGGGACTTTTCTCCTAAATGACTGCAGCCAAAGCCAAACAAACCCACATCTGTTTAGCATGCACAAATTAGATCAGGCTCAAAATCATTATCCCATCATGAGTGGTTTATATATCATTCATATTAGTATTATTGTAGTATTGTATTATTATTACTGCTATTATTACCATTGCCTCTATTTCCAATTTCTCTCTCCTCTTCCTTTTCTTCTTCTTCCTCATCCTCACCTCCCCTCTCCACCCTCTTGCTCCTCATCCTCCTCTTTTCTCTCTTTCTTCTTCTTTATAAGCAGTAATCCTAATTATGATTTCCATGTCAGTAGAAAAATATTATTTTAGCAGATCCAGTACTCCAAATTACAATATTGTTTTCATTATCTCTGATTAACCAAGAATTCTTTTCTAAGTATTTGTAGTTTATGATACAGGTGATACATTGAGAGAAAAGAATGGTGTACAAAACTTTAAATTAATGTGCTTTATTGATTTCCAGTTATTCGTGAGGGAACCCAAGCAGCAGTAGATGTATCCAAGACAGACCTGGCACTGCGCGTTAGGCTGACGCAGGTGAAAAAGAGACTATTGAAAAACCTGCACATGTTCATCTCTCCCAATCGCCTGTGTGTGAACAACCTGCCAGAGGAGCTGACTGATAAAGAGTTCAAGGAGATATTTATTAAAAATTCACCGAAAGGGGCTAAGATAACAGAGGTATGCCATTATCGGAAATTCGCTATTATGTTTGTATTATTTATATGGTGAAGATCGTGATGAGGACGTTTATGTTCAGAGTATGAAGCCTGACGATTTTTATTGTCATTTTTCTGAAAATTGTGAACTTCATGCTCTATCCCTTTCTTTACAGGCTCGCATTATGAAGGACTTAAGGACCTTATCTGATGAGGGTAATCCTGTGAGCAAGGGATATGGTTTCATATCATTTGCAGAGCATGAGCACGCACTGCAAGCCCTGAGGAAAGTCAACAACAACCCTGATATATTTACAGTGTTCAAGGTAAGCGAGGATGTGGGATATAGTACAGTATACAGTGTTGTTTGATGTGTTGGAATTTCCTATATTTTGCATCTTTCGGGAGAAAAGATCAGAAATTGGATTTCAGTTTTAGTGTATAATTCATAGTAAATATGAAAAATTGGATTTAAAAAGTGATACTCAAACAAAGGGTAGGTGTGTACATATGCGTGTGTGTGTGTGTTTCCCTCTATATATATATAGTGCCATTTGCATTAAAAAAAAGCAAGCATAGGACATTGGTTTGATTACGATGTACATTAGATCGTAAGTTGTATAGCTATATTATTTTTTTTTTCCCTTTATACATGCCATATTGTAAATACATTGTCCTGTTGTTTCTCGCTGCACAGAGGCCGATTGTGGAATTTTCAGTCGAGAATCGGGCCATCCTCAATGCACGAGAGAAGAGGATGGAGAAGAGCAGGGAGATGAATCCCACTTGGAAGAACAGCAAGAAGGCACAGAAGAAAAATGCAGAGGGTAAATGGATTAAGTTTTTTTTTTTTTTTTTTTTTTTTAGTAAAACCTAGAATGTATATGGGATTGTAATATTGCTCTACATGTACAAAGCCCTTGTTATAAGGGATGGCACTGTTATGGTCTCAAAACTTTTTGATTAATGTATTTAGAAGTCTAACAAAAAAAAATACGTATATAGGAAAACTAGTACAGTTTCTTCTTTGTTTCTAATAATTTGGTAACTAGGGATGAACAGTATCAGTAATGTCAATCAGACCTAACCTGTCTCCTTACTTTATGTTGCAACCATAAGAGATACAGAATATGTGAAGTTAACACATTAGTTTGTTCAGATATCTAACATGTATCCACAAGATAAGAGTACTGAAAATTATTATCTCTTCTTGAAGTCTTGAATGCCATCAAGGGGAAGGACATTGCTTTTTTTAAATAAAACTTTTATGAAATAGGTTAAGGTAGTTACCCCTAAATAGATGCCCTTCTCTATCTTATGAAATTATTCAAAAACACAAATAATACTGATAGATATCTTTTCCTCTCTTTTCCCAAGGCAAGAAGAAAGGTGAAAAGAAAACAGGGGACAAAGCCAAGCCAGCAGCTGCCAAGAAGGCCGGCAAAGTGCCCACTGATGCAGAGGGAGCCCAACTGCCAGCCTTTGTTGGAACGAAAAGCAACGCTAAGCAAGGAACTGGTGGAGCCATAATGGGGAATCTAGGACCAAAGGTACAGTTAGATTATATGTTCTTTTGGGGTTATTAAGGTATGATTAGGCATTTGCTTATTTGTATTTCCCATTCTGTCTCCTACCTTCATGCAGGTGGTGATATCTGCAAGAGTTTGTAGTTAACTGTTTAATATGAATATGTTTACATATATTGATTTTTCAAGAGAAGATTTAGAGTAACTTGTATTATTATAGGAATATCCTTTATTGAATTTTGTAGAGAATTATATTTTCTTCAGTTTTTGAGTCAGTCTTTCTGTATCTGTCTCTCACTCTTTCTCTCACATTCTATTTCAATTTCTCTACATATGTATTCTCTCTTTGTTTGTTTGTTTCTTTCATTCTATTTCTGTTTCCCTTTCTCTTTATGTATAATATCTCTCTCTCTTCCCTCTCTCCCTCCCACCCCCCAGAGGATTATTACTAGGTCAATTGAAGATCATTATTCTGTGAAGATTTACTAAATGAAAATATAAACTGTATTACTTGTATTTGTATAAGACAGACTGTTCTTTATGCCATTTCTTTCCTCTCCAGGTCCGAAACCGCGACAAGGGCCAACCCCAGGGAAAGATCACCCGCAGAAAATACAGACGGGAGATGCAAGACCGTGCTACAGGAAAGAAACGGAAACGTCCTCAGGTCGATGCGCCCGAAGAGGCAGCGGCACCAATTAAAAAAGCCAAAACTAGTACAGAAGGAAAGGAAGGAAAGATGAAGAAGTTAAAGATGAAGAAAAAGGTGAACAAGGAAATGAAAAATGCCATGAGAGAAGATGCAGCGTTTAATAAGATGGTAGCAAAATACAAACAAAAGATGTCTTCTGTAGGGCCTAAAGTCCCTGCTAAGAGATGGTATGAAGATTAGCTTCATAACTAAAAAAAAAAATAGAAATCAATACATTTTTATTTATGTTAACTATTAATAAATTTTCATCCTATTGTTGTTGTATACATTGTCTTATATACAATATATTTTTGAAAACCCAGGGAAATGTGGTGATTTTGGAGCAGTGTTGCAAGTATAGTTTGGTCTTGCAAAAGCTTTGATGATATACTATAACAGTTCTTGTTATAGTTTTCACTTCCTAATATGTTAGGAAAATTATATATACAAATGAATGGAGATGTAAAGTAACATCCTGTTGTGTTGTTGATAGTATTTGTCATTTAATAACTCTCCAGTCATGGGGAGTTTGTCAAGTTTTCAGATAAAATACTTGGTGTGTTATTATTTGATTATTATTGTTATTTTTGTTATATTTATTATTATAATTGTTTTATTTAGTTTTGGGTTTATTGATTTATTTATAATTATTGTTATTATTATTATTTTTTTTTTTATTTTTTTTTTTATTATTATTGTTATTATTATTATTATTATTATTATTATTATTATTATTATTATTATTATCTTATCAATAATGCTTTTTTCATATTTATACTATTATAAAGTAATATGGTGGTTGAGAGTCCATGTACAAACATCTATTAAATATTTTTGACATTTTTCAGTCATTAATTGCCTTTTGTAGCAGCACTTTGAAAAGCAGAGTTTCCACAGCACATCAGTACATCATATTCTAGTAAACAGAAAATTGTCTGACCAGTGTACATACTTTGCCAAAAGCCAGGGAACAGGTGTCAAAGAATCTTCCCAAATGGGTAGATCTTAAACATTCCTGAAGGGCTGCTCCATAGTGCATAGGATTGGTAAAGATAAAGTCTCAAATTTCTAATTATATCAAAGAGAAGACCAATAACAGTGATGAAATTAATTGAATTAACAAGGGATATTCTCTGGACAGTGCCATTTCACCAATCAGAGGCAGTTTTTGTTGGCAAATCAGGGGACAAGTAAGATTGTTACTTGGGTGTCTTATATCTGTTCTGTCTCCAAAATTGTGTCCAGTACATAATGTATAGTGTATTGATGTCATTGTTATCATTTGGGGGGCTTAGGAGATGGGGACTGAGGCCTACAGTAAGGGATCAACCCTACCTTGGTCTTCAGCCCTCACCTCAACTAATTTTGCATTGTCTTTTCTTCTCCTTTCCATGTCCTTTTCTTCATCCATTTGTTCTGTTCCACTTATCCTAATTGTTAAAATCATTTTTGCCATTTTCGCCACAGTACTTTATCGCAATGCTTCCTACTCCCTTAACTACATGCTGCTGGGAAAAATTAATGAAAAAAAATAGGGAAAATACTGTGCTCATTTTCTATATTTTTGTGAAATGTCACTGCACATAGATGGCTGTGCTAGTGCTTAGCCACAAAGGAGTCAATTGGTAGACCTTGTGACCTTACCTAATTTCTCTATTCCTTGAATTGGCAGGAAAACACATCTTTTACTAATGCTATGAATATTGCTGCTGTTATTTATATTATAGAAATTATAATTACTATGATGTTATGAACATTAGTAACAGCAAACTAAGATAACGTAAAATATTTTCATAGATCAAGGAAAAGGGTAAGCAGGCAAGGCAGGTAGTACTCGTAATTAGTGACTTAGTACAATTGTAGCCATCTATGTGTAAAAACAATTAAAAAACGCCACTAGATATTGACACAGCATAAATTTTTCAATAAGTAGATTTATTGTTGATGTCCTATATAGAGTTAATTTTACCAAATGCCTCCAAAATAAACTTTTATAGATTTATAGGAATTGCCCATATCTAATGCCCTAACATTTTTTCATTGTGCCAGATAATGCCATGCTCATTTTTCTTCATCTTTTCTGAAGATCATACCTGACCTCACGACCTGTAAGAGAGTTGATAATACATTTTTTCCCCCCCTGAATAAGAAATGATACTCCGTCGCATGACTCTCAGGGGATAGTATTAATTTGGTTAGTTGATTAGCTTTATGATGTGGATGTGGATGTCCAGTATAGAACCACTTGAATACCCCTGCTCTGAAAGTAAAAAAGAAATAGTGCTGGATATATCTTGAAACCATGTTTTCTGAATTAAGTGCAGAGTATGTAAAGATGTCTGAAAAGGAAGGTAGATAACATTGCTATTGACTGCCTTTCTCCATGATATAGAATCAGTTGTGCTTGCCTGGTCTGAAACGTTCACTTTCTCCATAGCAAATGTCATGAATAAGATGCCAGTCCCTGCTGTTCCATGAGGATCAATAATAGTAATTATAAGTGGGGAATGCGAGTGATAAGAGTGATGTTTGAATATATGTAAATATTTAATTTAAGGTGACCAGCTTTTAGTTCTGATGTTAAGTTAAAAGTTTTCAGCTCTGGCAAGTTGTCAGTCAATATGGATATAAAAATGAGATCTGTGCCAGTGCAAAAAGCTCTTTTTTCAGGAATATTAAGAGCAGTGATATTCAAGATGTTGAAGTAAAGGAGAGTCTGTCTGGGTAGCTTTGGCTCTCAATTTAGATTTGAATATATCAGATTTATAATCGCGATAAAAGCTGCTGAGTCTAGCATAAATTTTAGTAACAGCCAAATTGAGGAGAAATCCAGTACTATTTCTCAAGGCAAGAACTTTAGCAGTCATAAGACAACCAAGTATAGTTCTAAGTATAGATAGGGTTTAGAAGTAACATTAAGTGAAAATAGTGAAAAATACACCAGCCTTTTAAATCCAAAAGAGGCCTCAGATATCAGTCATTATATATATACATACATACATATATACATGTGTGTGTGTGTGTATTTATGTATTTATATATTTACATATATATATTTACATATATATATTTATATATATATAGATAGATAGATAGATACACACACACACACACACACACACACACACACACACACACACACACACACACACACACACACACACACACACACACACACACACACACACACACACACACACACATATTTTTAACATAAGACAGGTGGATATAAAAAACATCTAAAATAATTTACCATCTTTATTTCATAACCATCACAGAGTAATTAAAGAGCATTAAGATCAAAATACCAATGGAGAGGTAACGGTAATGCAATGTCTTCAAAAGACAACAAATAACTTATCATATCAGCATCTGCCATTTTACTTTTATTTGTAAAAGATATCAATATTATTTATTATTGAAACATTATAAAATATCTGTGTACATATTTTGATATTCCAATTCCTTGTGCTACACACTGTTGGTAATAACTTTTGTAACGTTTGTACACTTTTTATCTCTTTTGAGCATATTTTATAGCTGGTTGAAAAAAAAAAGCACACAACTGCTTCAAACATTTCTTAAACACAGGCTAGTCTTTAAACCATTTAACCAAAGCTTCACTAATACTGCCATTCATACTGCTTCAAATCTAGAATTCTACATTGTAAAAAGAAATGCAATGATCCTAAATTATTCACTGGCAGATCAGATTGGAAGACAATGCATATGGACTATGTTTTAAAAAAAAACAAAAAAACACTAAATGTATGTTGCAGTGAAATCAGTGCAAGGATTCTCATTAAAAAAATCATTACTATTCTCTTTCCCATGCAAAGATTCTGTTCAGAGCAACTCCTGCTACAAGGCACAAATGTAGTTAGGATCTATCTCTTTGTGTGTGTAAACTTATAAATGTATATAGGTCTGCTATATATTGTCTCCTAAGTAGAGAAACATGTATACAAATACAGTTCATCGTATCCTCTGCACTAAAGCAAAAATTGAAGTGCAAATACCAAGAAAAAGTAATATAAACAAACCTAGAACATATCTTACACATTCTCTCTGCTCATGAATACAATACGCATTTATTGCATTACAAGGATATTAGTTCATAACCATCATAAAATGCTCATCTCGTCATCACCCAGCTTGATACTACAGCTCAATATATTTGAACAGCTTACAGCACACACCAAGCAGGCATTAAAAAAAAAAACATATAAAAACTTTCAAAAGTTGCCTTATAACATATAGCAAAAATTTCAAAATCTGTGGCACATAAATTACACAAACAGCTCTGAACACTGAACACAACTTCCCTCATGTCATGATACTCTCGAGCTCAAAAAAAAGGAAAAAAAAAATAGATTTGTTTCTTCATTACAACCATTCTAAAGAGAAATATGAGGCAGGAAAGAAGTTCCAAAAAGCAAAGCTTCTGACTTGTCTTTAACTGTCCCCACCCTTCAAAGAAATAATCATAATAATAATAAAAATAAAGACAGTTCTCAAGAAATACAAGAAACATCTAAAGCATACATTGTACAGACTCACAACCTCTGAAACCACTTTGAGTCACAGAAGAGTTAACTATGAAAATCTTGCTGGAACCTGTAAGCATCCTGTTATGGATACAGATGGGACTAGATGAACACGAAAAAAAAAGAAAAAAAAAATACAAAATAAAATGAATTGGGAGAAAATGCACAAAACCTGTGAGCTGCAGAAAGCAATGAACAAGTATGTGACACTGTCCTTAGAAGTTCTAAGCAACATTTCAAACAAATTTCCTTTGTTACAGCTGCCACTTCATCAAATTTATTCTGAGAAAATGACAACAGAAGCAAAACAGGCAAAAAAATGTAAAACTCCAATCCTTCATTGTAGAAACTGGTATCCAAATACCCACAATGAAAATTACCAAATCTATTCTACGGTTCCATTATGCCTTACTGCATCTATCCTAAGGTGCAGCTTTCAATGGGAAAAACTGCAAGTCAACAACTTTGCTTATATATATTTTTTTTATTTTTGTAACTCATTTACTAATGGTCAAATGAACTTCTTTTGTAAGGAAACCTACAAGGTACTTTTTTTTCTTCTCGTAATAGATATTTGAGCAATTACAAATTACAATGTGGCAGAAGAAGGAAATAAGAAAAACGACCCTTTCAAAATATTTCCCACCAAAACGGAAAAAAAAAAATATGAAGAAAAATAACATCTTACGCTTTTTTTCTTCTTTTTTGTTTACATCAAAAATATTCATCAACTAACCACTTCAACTTTCATCATCACTAACTTCATATTACTTGTGCAAATAATACAACTACATTTTGTTTCTTTATAAAACTAAATATCATTTACACAAACGCGTCATATATATCATTGCTACGGTATATCTTGTAATCCTGAGTCACACATCAAAAGAGGTTTTCAAAGGTCTCAATCACAAAGCCACGTGGTTATCCCGGGATCCGCGAACAAATCCCACTTATTCTTCTTGTTTGCTAAATGCTATTCGCTAAGTTATCGATTCGGCAAGTGACCGAGGGATGGACAAGGAGGAGGCAAACCATAGATGAAAATAAGACTAATAAAGACAAAAAATGAAAAACTAGGGGGGGTAAAAGGGGAGGAATAAAAACAAAACAAAAAAATAAATAAATAAAAGGACAGAAGGCCACAGAACTTGAGAAGGGAAAAATGTCACACCAATACCAATTCCACATGTACATATCTTTTAAAAATCAAACAATGAAAAAAGAAAGAAAAAAAAAAAGGCCGAAGCAAGTGTCAAATAACTATAAACTCAAATACTGTGGATGGGTTTCCTGGAATTTAACATAAAAATATATATATATAATTCATCAAAAGCACCATATTAGTGGTACACATATCTTTTTCATATAATACAGTTCTTAAGACTTAATACAATCTCCAAAAATATACACTGTATTTTTTGCCCA